AGGTGTCAATGTCTCACAAACATATCAGAGTCTTGCAGCACAATGTAGGTGTCAATGTCTCACAAACATATCACAGTCTTGCAGCACTACATAGGTGTCAATGTCTCACAAACATATCACAGTCTTGCAGCACAACGTAGGTGTCAGTGTCTCACAAATATATCACAGTCTTGCAGCACAACGTAGGTGTCAATGTCTCACAAACATATCACAGTCTTGTAGCACAACGTAGGTGTCACTGTCTCACAAACATATCACAGTCTTGCAGCACTATGTAGGTGTCAATGTCTCACAAACATATCACAGTCTTGCAGCACTATGTAGGTGTCACTGTCTCACAAACATATCAGAGTGTTGCAGCACTACGTAGGTGTCAATGTCTCACAAACATATCAGAGTGTTGCAGCACAACGTAGGTGTCACTGTCTCACAAACATATCACAGTCTTGCAGCACTATGTAGGTGTCAATGTCTCACAAACATATCACAGTCTTGCAGCACTATGTAGGTGTCAATGTCTCACAACATATCAGAGTGTTGCAGCACAACGTAGGTGTCACTGTCTCACAAACATATCACAGTCTGGCAGCACTACATAGGTGTCAATGTCTCACAACATATCTGAGTCACATGTAGATGAATAGTGTGAATAGTCACTTTCCTTATCTTACAATCTACTTCAGTATATGTCCATATTCAGTATATGACGCCTGACTCCTGACTCCTGACGCCACACCGAAGTACTCCTGCCATGTCACGGCGGTCTGAATACAAACCAGTCAATCAAGTGATGGACTAGAAATAAGTCATGTGATAGCACATTTACTGATTTTGTTGAAACTAAAAGTGATATGTTAATTTAGAATAACATCTGCTGTGTACAAGAGCAAAGATCCTGCTTCTTGTAACTCCCGAGCACTGGCGTATAGGTATGGATTTTGGCATTATGTTTACGAAAGTATTCAGAATAACTGTACATATATCTTTACATGTCAATTACTGCATATACACCATGTGTGCATGTCATCGTAATATTCCACCATAATATCCCAGGATCTTTCCTCTCCTCATCAAGAGATCAACATCATCAACCTTGGCCAAAAAGACTTTCTGAACTTGACATAATATATGATTGACCAATTGTCTACTCCGCGACTGATTTATAGGTCTTCACCCAGGCAGCTAGACAAATCGACACTTTGTCTGTCGTCCTGAAAGAATTCATCATTAGTCTTTCGACTGTCCTCAATATACTCATCAACCTGAGGTAGAGACATATCTACTTCAAGACCAGCACCAGAGACTCAGGCATCTCAAGACTTGATCTCTCAAACTTTCAATCAGCGTAGGCATCTTGTCATCTATATGTATTGACATTTTCATATAAAAGTTGGCATGTTCTTTCTACGTCCTGGTCGACATTACATAACTGTGAAGGCACGTTACCTCTACAGTTTGATCATCAGCCTACGCAGTAATGAATTGATGATTATGTCATATCTCTACGACGTAATCATCAATTTATAATAATGTAGGCATGTTACCTCTAGATGTTCATCGTCAATATATAATTTCTCTAAAAAAAACCTGGGAGGCACGGGTGGCCCAGTCGTCTATGGCGCCGCGATTCGTTGTGCAGAGTTGCGTCCCTTGGGAACACCAGAAACTGATGATTGTTGGTTTGAACCCCGGGTTCGCCCCGATTATGTTTCTAGGTTTGTCAGCACCATACCCATATTTGTGGGTTTCACCGAAGTGGTAAACGTCTGAGACCTGCATCACTTCGGGCTTTCCTCCCACATTAAGCTGACATGCCGCGATATAACTGAAATACTGTTAAAAGCGGCATTAAACCCAACTCACTCACTCTAAAAAAAACTTCTATGTACCTATGAAAAATAAATTGACACACATGAAACATACAGCTATTTAGCACTTCTACTACCATATTCCGCAAAATCAAAAGAATGACGTCTGACTCCTGACTCCACACCGCAGTTCTCCCGCCATGCCACGGCGGTCGGAATACAAACCAGTCAATCAAGTGATGGACTTGAAATAAGTCACGTGATAGCACGTACGTTTACTGATTTTGTTAATTTAGAATAACATCTGCTGTGTACAAGAGCAAAGATTCTGCTTCTTGTAACTCCCGAGCACTGGCGTATAGGTATGGATTTTGGTATCATGTTTATGAAAATGTTCGGAATAACTGTACATATATCTATACATGTCAATTACTGCATTATTCATTCAGTAATGAGATTTACTTGTATGCATCAATTGGTTATATAAGTGTGTAACCTGCAGGATATTGATATCACAGACACGAAGCAGCGGTATTGTTCACCTCTGTGTTGTGTTCACAATCAATATATCAACCTCCACATTCCGTGTTCCGTGGCTCCACGCTGCACCAGGTCACAAGTGCTGGGGATGCTGTGGGATTGGGATAGTTTGTCATAAATAGAGCTTCCCTTGCCCTACTAACATCCCCCCCCCCCCCCCCACCCTACACACACACACACACACGAAGTAATTGCTGTGTTACCATAGTCCTTCCAGTTATGCTTCATACATGTTGATCCAAATTTCCCATGAAGTTAGTGATTCCACCTCCTCCATCACTCTCTCTCTCTCTCTTTTTTTTTCTCTCTCTCTCTCTCTGACTCTCTGTGTCTCTCTCTCTCTCTCTGTCTCTCTGTCTCTGTCTCTCTCTCTCTCCTCACTCTCTCTCTCTCTCTCTCTCTCTCTCTGTGAGGGGCGGTCGGGTAGCCTAGTGGTTAAAGCGTTTCGATTCCCGACATGGGTACAATGTGTGAAGCCCATTTGTGGTGTCCCCTGCGGTGATATTGCTGGAATATTGCTAAAAGCGGCGTAAAACCATACTCACTCACTCACTCTCTTTCTGTGATATGGCTGATGTGATGAGATTGTGTGTTACTTAAAAAATCAAAACAATAAAGGATATTTGTAATGTGGCATGTAACGTTGCTTAACTTCGTCTGATTTGTGACCTGTGTGCTGTGCACAGGACCACGTGCATGCCGCAGCATCTGGATCATTGCCTCTAAGTTGTACACAACAGCTAGACTAACATTAAGTCTCTGAAATCTTATATTACACAATGTCCTTCTTGACTCTAAAAATAAAAAAATTCCCTATGCTGATTTCAGAGTGTGGAATAGAGCTAGCTTGAGCTGGCTAGGCTTGCTTTTGTATGCATTTCTAGATTATTATTTTTTCATAAAATAAATATGTTCCACGGTCATGGTGCAGGACTACACAACTGTCTATTTGGTTACATACATGTTTATTTGAGTTACATACTAGTTTGAACAACAACAAAAAAACATCGCCCACCTGCACTATATATTTCAAAAGCCATTGCCTGAGAACCAATTCTTTATTTTTTAAAGCCTAAGGTTGTTGATGTCACCCCCACCCCTCCAAGTCATTATTTGGATATTTGGCTTTTAGGAATCCAATTTTCTAACCCATTTCAGACCTGCATGTTTATATTATTTGTAATCTGTTTTTCATTACAAGAACCCCAAAATACAACCTCCCTCTGTTAGTAACTGAAAGATATGTATGAGGTAATTACAGTGATTTCTTGCTTTTCTATTTGAGCATTAAATTACTTTGAAGTAGATTGCCTTGGAATCCGTTCATCAGGGTCTTATCATTCAGCTGTATGGGAAATTTGGGAGGCATGCCTGTTTAAATACCCACACATGCCTCCTCTATCTGTTGACGTGCATCTGTCATGTTTAGACTCTCATTTTGAGGAGAAAATTCCCAATATGTAAACTAGTCCTTGTGTCGTTTTTTAGAAATTAACTTTGAAGATTAAATTAGCATCATGTGGTAGGGTTTTCCTGGATATGAAATATTTTTTTGTAGACAAGGTTGTTAAAGATGATCTGGGTGGTGCAGACATCCCGTGTCATTATCATATGACAGTTATAGTTGCTCATGATATCAACCACTGGTTAGCTGTGATGTTGTGTTCTTCAAACTGTAACAGTGGATCTTGTTATTACGTATGTAAGACGATATCACGGTTCAGTGAAGGTCGACCCTCAACAGCGGTGAGATATATACTTCACACTGTAACAGCTGATCTTGTTATTACGTATGTACGATGATGTCCCGGTTCAGTGAAGGTCGACCCTCAACAGCGGTGAGATATATACTTCACACTGTAACAGTGGATCTTGTTATTACGTATGTACGATGATGTCCCGGTTCAGTGAAGGTCAACCTTCAACAGCGGTGAGATATATACTTCACACTGCAACAGCGGACCTTGTTATTACGTATGTACGATGATGTCCCGGTTCAGTGGAGGTCAACCCTCAACAGCGGTGAGATATATACTTCACACCGCAACAGCTGATCTTGTTATTACGTATGTACGATGATGTCCCTGTTCAGTGAAGGTTGACCCTCAACAGCGGTGAGATATATACTTCACACCGTCACAGTTGATTATTGTTATTACGTATGTACGATGATGTCCCTGTTCAGTGAAGGTTGACCCTCAACAGCGGTGAGATATATACTTCACACCATAACAGCTGATCTTGTTATTACGTATGTACGATGATGTCCCTGTTCAGTGAAGGTCAACGCTCAACAGCGGTGAGATATATACTTCACACTGCAACAGCTGATCTTGTTATTACGTATGTACGATGATGTCCCGGTTCAGTGAAGGTCAACCTTCAACAGCGGTGAGATATATACTTCACACTGTAACAGCTGATCTTGTTATTACGTATGTACGATGATGTCCCTGTTCAGTGAAGGTCGACCCTCAACATCGGTGAGATATATACTTCACACCGTCACAGTTGATTATTGTTATTACGTATGTACGATGATGTCGTGGTTCAGTGCAGGTCGATCCTCAACTGCGGTGAGATATATACTTCACACCGTAACAGCTGATTATTGTTATTATGTTTGTTCAAGCAGCCCCTTTCTCTCCCCAGGTGGCTGAAGAGCTCCTCACCCTGGCCTACGAAAGTGGAATCAACTTGTTTGACACAGCAGAGGTTTACGCCGCGGGCAAGTGAGTATACCTGGTGCCGTGTGTGAAGGAGAAGGAGGGGGACAATAAGGAGGCATCCAATTGTACCTAGTCGGCTTCAGAATTAAAGACCCTTTATCCTAAAGTTTTGGAATTACTTATACATAAATCATTTGATTTTCATCCAAATTTTAAATGAATGTGAGCATGAGGCATTATGAGTTTATATTATATTTGTTTTAACACATCATTCAAGACATCCATGTACCATAACCATCCATCAATCAGCATGTTAGGTAGGACAAGCTTGTGGAAATATATGTGCAAATGAAATGTGAAAATTGTTTTTTTACTTCAGCGTTCTCTGCCTTATTGAGGAATAATGTATTGGGAATTAATAAAAGTATATTATTCTCAAAATTGAAAAAAATTGAAAATAGTTCGGTGGAAGTGGGCAAAAGAATATGGGCTTTAGAAAATAGGATATAAAAGAATTGACAAAGGATAGTCCAACAAACATACACCCAGCATTATATAAAGACATATGCTGAAACAATGGAACATAAAGTCCTTGTTGCTAATGAAATGGTTATGTGGAGTTCCGGTTAATGTGGGGGGCAAGGGTGGCCCAGTCGTCTAAGGCGCCGCGATTCGCTGTGCAGAGTTGTGTCCCTTGGGCACGCCAGAAACCTATGATTGTGGGTTCGAATCCCGGTTCGCCCCAATTATGTTTCTAGGTTTGTCAGCACCATACCCGTGCTCGTGGGTTTCACTGAAGTGGTAAACGTCTGAGACCTGCATCACTTCGGGCTTTCCTCCCACATTAAGCTGACACGCCGTGATATAACTGGAATAATGTTAAAAGCGGTGTTAAACCCAACTCACTCACTAACTCACTCAAGTTAATGTGCATATGTTAGACCCAGTAGAAGTAGAAGAGGACAAGATTTCATTACAGTGTCAAATGGAATCATGGCAAATAAATTATTAGCGTGAGAAACCATTATCTGAAGGATTATAGCCTGATGTGATGGTAATAGGATGAAGAACGTTACCATAATGGCGCTAAGGGTTTGACAAGCTTGTGGGGATTATTTGTGTGTGATGCTGATACACTTGTCCCACAGGACAAACGTTTAGAATATAAATGATCAATTCTAGGAGATGAAACCAAACTTGATAACAACTTCCCTCCAGATACGGATGCTGCTACCGCAGTCTCATTGTCTTAAAGTGTGATTGTTGTAATTATCATGGAACTGTTCTGGGTGAACAATAACTTCCAAATGGCGTGCTGGATTTCTTGGGGGAATTAGTCAGCAAAGAGCCGGAGTCACAAGAGACTAATCACAATTTTATTTACAAGAACAATTAACAATTTACAATATCTTAGAGAATAGCTGAGGGTGCCAGAGAGAGTTGGTAGTCTGCGCTGTGGGAGAGAGGTCTGCTTTGTAAGAGAGTCAAACCCCTTCTCTCCTAACAAGGTTCCTGTATGTATTTAACAAAACTTAGATAAATAAAATGGAATATGATCGGTTGATACACGATTGGTTGTGTCCTATGCTAAATGAATGGCTAGACAGAGGGGAATATTTAATCCTGTTAATCCTGTTGGACTGGCACTAATCTTGTTGACATATTTACTGGATGCTTTGAAAGAGATTATGGTGTCACTATAGACGGGCTTGTGTTGGGGCTAATCCTTAATGCACTATAGACGAGCTTGTATGGGGGCTAATCCTTAATGCCCTATAGACGAGCTTGTATGGGGGCTAATCCTTAATGTCCTATAGACGAGCTTATATGGGGGCTAATCCTTAATGCACTATAGACGAGCTTGTACGGGTGCTAATCCTTAATGCCCTATAGACGAGCTTATATGGGGGCTAATCCTTAATGCACTATAGACGAGCTTGTATGGGGGCTAATCCTTAATGAGTCTTAATTGAAGTAATTGCTGAATGTTATTCTAATATACCCCGGTAGGTGATGAAAGATATACTTAAATAAAATAGTTCAAGGTAATCTATAAGACTATGTAGACATATCCTTTGTCTGGGAGATGGGATCTTGATACCTTAGGCTAGCATTTATCTAAAAGCTTCAAATCAGTTAAACTATGTAGACGTAACTCTTGTTTTATTGAATAGTATTACTTGCTAAACTATTATATGAAATGATGTATAAATATTACACCATGGTAACTCCTAAAAGCACTTGATGTGGATCTAATTATTATAGGATAACTTAGTATAAATGTTATACCATGATATAATCCTGAAGATCTCTAGGTAAGATTACCTTGATGGTGGAGAACAGGTGTCAGCATTTTATGGGTTCCATCAGAATAAAAGGCAGTTATGAAATATAATAAAGATTGCTGTGAGTGGGAGGAGACTAGTGTCTTTTAGTATCAGGGGGGCAAAGGGCAAATTTTTAAAAAAGTAATAGGATTGTGTTGTATGTAAATAGGCTCATTCTGATAATGTTTGTGTTGTATGTAAATAGGCTCATTCTGATAATGTTTGTGTTTTGGAATAATTTGTTGAAGAAAATTAACCTGAAACTCACTCCAAAAATCACTGAGTTTCTATTTTCTGCCTCCTGTAACTTGATGTTTTGATCAAGCAAACAGGGGAGACAACTGTCAGTCCCAACAACTTGGATTCAAGTCCAATCTCATTAAAATTAGATCTTAGTTCTTGCTACTGCTCAACAAAGATCTGAGGACATCCCATTATGGGTCACGTCAGACTGACCTTTCGCGAACTTTGACCGACCAATGGAATGACTAACAAGAAGTCGACAATAGCAAATCAGAAGGCATCTTAATCGAGCTTAACGGCACGAGTTTGAAAACTGGCGACTAGGCTTCGAAACATATTCAGACATATACCCGATTAAGAAAATTATAAACTGAACAAAAGAACATTCTGGAATGGCTGATAGATGGTGTAGATTGTATGAATACAGACATAAAGCCCATAACTATCGTTCGGAATACCCTGTGTGTTTTTTCGAGGTTGCACAATCAAAAATCAAATTCCGACTGTAACTTTCATGATCTGATAAGCGATGCCCTGACTGGTCAGATGAAAGGTCGTTCTGACATGACCCACAATGGGATGTCCTCAGATCCTTTTTTAGCGGTAGCGGTCTGCAAAGTCAAGTCTTTCATTTGATTATGACAAGGACAGTTAAATACATGATGCTAAGGTTGGTCCACACCATACTAATATTCCTGGGTTTTGCCAAAGTGGTAAACGTCTGTGACCTGCATCACTTCGGGCTTTCCTCCCACATTAAGCTGACTCGCTGTGATGAGGGACTGCCAGTTCCCCAGTGTGCTCCCCCTTTAACTGTGGAGGACTGCCAGATTCAACTCCCCCTTTAACTGTGTAGGACTGCCAGATTCCCCTCCACCTTTAACTGTGGAGGACTGCCAGATTCCCCTCCCCCTTTAACTGTGGAGGACTGCCAGATTCTCCTCCCCCTTTAACTGTGGAGGACTGCCAGATTCCCCTCCCCCTTTAACTTTGGAGGACTGCCAGTTCCCCAGTGTGCTCCCCCTTTAACTGTGGAGGACTGCCAGATTCCCCTCCCCCTTTAACTGTGGAGGACTGCCAGATTCCCCTCCCCCTTTAACTGTGGAGAACTGCCAGTTCCCCAGTGTGCTCCCCCTTTAACTGTGGAGGACTGCCAGATTCCCCTCCACCTTTAACTTTGGAGGACTACCAGATTCTCCTCCCCCTTTAACTGTGGAGGACTGCCAGATTCCCCTCCCCCTTTAACTGTGGAGGACTGCCAGATTCCCCTCCCCCTTTAACTGTGGAGGACTGCCAGTTCCCCAGTGTGCTCCCCCTTTAACTGTGGAGGACTGCCAGATTCCCCTCCACCTTTAACTTTGGAGGACTACCAGATTCTCCTCCCCCTTTAACTGTGGAGGACTGCCAGATTCCCCTCCCCCTTTAACTGTGAAGGACTGCCAGTTCCCCAGTGTGCTCCACCTTTAACTGTGGAGGACTGCCAGATTCCCCCCCCCCCCTTTAACTGTGGAGGACTGCCAGATTCCCCTCCCCCTTTAACTGTGGAGGACTGCCAGATTCCCCAGTGTGCTCCCCCTTTAACTGTGGAGGACTGCCAGATTCCCCTTCACCTTTAACTGTGGAGGACTGCCAGACTCCCCTCCCCCTTTAACTGTGGAGGACTGCCAGACTCCCCTCCCCCTTTTACTGTGGAGGACTGCCAGACTCCCCTCCCCCTTTAACTGTGGAGGACTGCCAGAATCCCCTCCCCCTTTAACTGTGGAGGACTGCCAGTTCCCCAGTGTGCTCCTCTTTAACTGTGGAGGACTGCCAGATTTCCCTCCCCCTTTAACTGTGGAGGACTGCCAGTTCCCCAGTGTGCTCCCCCTTTAACTGTGGAGGACTGCCAGATTCCCCTCCCCCTTTAACTGTGGAGGACTGCCAGACTCCCCTCCCCCTTTAACTGTGGAGGACTGCCAGACTCCCCTCCCCCTTTAACTGTGGAGGACTGCCAGAACCCCCTCCACCTTTAACTGTGGAGGACTGCCAGTTCCCCAGTGTGCTCCCCCTTTAACTGTGGAGGACTGCCAGATTCCCCTCCACCTTTAACTTTGGAGGACTACCAGATTCTCCTCCCCCTTTAACTGTGGAGGACTGCCAGATTCCCCTCCCCCTTTAACTGTGGAGGACTGCCAGATTCCCCTCCACCTTTAACTTTGGAGGACTGCCAGATTCTCCTCCCCCTTTAACTGTGGAGGACTGCCAGACTCCCCTCCCCCTTTAACTTTGGAGGACTGCCAGATTCCCCAGTGTGCTCCCCCTTTAACTGTGGAGGACTGCCAGATTCCCCTCCCCCTTTAACTGTGGAGGACTGCCAGATTCTCCTCCCCCTTTAACTGTGGAGGACTGCCAGTTCCCCAGTGTGCTCCTCTTTAACTGTGGAGGACTGCCAGATTTCCCTCCCCCTTTAACTTTGGAGGACTGCCAGATTCCCCTCCCCCTTTAACTGTGGAGGACTGCCAGATTCCCCTCCCCCTTTAACTTTGGAGGACTGCCAGATTCCCCTCCCCCTTTAACTGTGGAGGACTGCCAGATTCCCCAGTGTGCTCCTCCTTTAACTGTGGAGGACTGCCAGATTCCCCTCCACCTTTAACTGTGGAGGACTGCCAGATTCCCCTCCCCCTTTAACTGTGGAGGACTGCCAGTTCCCCAGTGTGCTCCTCTTTAACTGTGGAGGACTGCCAGATTTCCCTCCCCCTTTAACTGTGGAGGACTGCCAGATTTCCCTCCCCCTTTACCTGTGGAGGACTGCCAGTTCCCCAGTGTGCTCCCCCTTTAACTGTGGAGGACTGCCAGATTCCCCTCCCCCTTTAACTGTGGAGGACTGCCAGACTCCCCTCCCCCTTTAACTGTGGAGGACTGCCAGATTTTATAGTACTTATACACCCACTAGGGGACAGGTACAGGGATAAATTCAACATGCCATACATTATGACAGTTACAGATAGTATACAGTGAGTGAGTGAGTATGGTTTTACGCCGCTTTTAGCAATATTCCAGCAATATCACAGCGGGGGACTCCAAAAATGGGCTTCACGCATTGTACCCATGTCGGGAATCGAACCTGGGTCTTCGGCGTGACGAGCGAACGCTTTAACCACTAGGCTACCCAACCACCCCAGATGGTATACAGAGACAATAATGATGAGACACAGTGTCAGAAAGTATAATAATAGCGCCATGCTGAAACCCACACAGGTAGGACATCTTGCTGCATTTCAGACATGGTGTATATATACTCACCATCAAAAGAAACGCGAATCATAGAATCATAGAAACATATAGAGAAGTATGTATTTAAAGAAGAGAATGTTTCCAATGGGTACCACTTAATGACAAAACTAACAATCTGTCAAGTGTTACCACAGCGTGTCCTTGTACTCAACATCCTGCACATGATTTCCAAACTTTACATGCTAATCCTGTACAAGACAAAAGGTGAATCTCGAGTCATGGATCTATGACGTTACATGTGATGCGTTCATGAGCGTTGGTTCACACGACATACCAGTATGTTCGTTTTTGCATCGAACTAATCTAATACCTCTTGAATATGAGTAATTCTTTATGTATTAACCAACATGTATGTATTTGCGTTTCGTCTAAGGCGCCGCGATTCGCTGTGCAGAGTTGCATCCCCTGGACAAACCAGAAACCTATGATTGTGGATTTGAATCCCGGTTCACCCCGATTATGTTTCTAGGTTTGTCAGCACCATACCCGTGCTTGTGGGTTTCACTGAAGTGGTAAACGTCTGAGACCTGCATCACTTCGGGCTTTCCTCCCACATTAAGCTGACACGCCGTGATATAACTGGAATAATGTTAAAAGCGGTGTTAAACCCAACTCACTCACTCACTCACTCACTCACTCACTCACTCACTCTTTCATCAGTGAGTTAGTATTAAACAAACTGAACAATCTCTTGGGGTCAGGGGGAGTTTCAAAGCAGTGATTGCATCACCATCAGAGTTGCTATTGGAGATGCTGGCTGAAAATATTAGTCTTATGGAAGCATGGAGGCAGCAGATAAGGAAGATGGCGTCTTCATCTTCAGCCTCTTCTGTGTTCAGTCATCTAGCATTTAACAATGTCGCTCATGATAGAGAAAATGTCTCAGTTTCACACCTGGAATACAGTGTCTTGTCCAATAGGAACAGTCACGATATGGCTGAAATATGCCGATGTGACGTTAAGTTTTAACTCACTCACTCACCCAATAGGAACTGGACAGTGAAGCGCCCCTTTAATTGTTACTTGTGGATACTTCCTGTGTAGGTTGATGTTCTCAAGATAGGAAGCAGCCAGCAGAATCTGGGGCCTGGAAATAGACTGGCGAGATAGGTCTTGGCATGAGTGGCTCAGACAGTTTGTCTGTTTTGTTTAGAATCTTGGCTGCCTCTTCTATTTGCTTTGGGGTATTTCTCAAGATTCACGTTTATACAGACTTGACTAGGGGCAGTTAGATGGGAAGTGTGTCAAAATATTGATGGCAGCTAATAATGTGTAAGAAACAGTGTTGAAAAAGTGATAAGTGATGTTTGAACCGCAGCTGATATGTTGAACATGCTGCTAGGATTTTCAAACCGTTTATCTTCAAACTGTTAATCAGAAATACCAATTGAAATACTGGCACTCATGAAATAATGAGCTTGAGGAATGATGATGCCTGAATTTCCATGAGTATTTATTATCATTATATTGGTTCAATTAAACAAGAGGTGCCCTGCACAACAACATTTAAGCCTAAAGAAATATATATACTTGGAACTCCACACATCTGAGAAAAGCCCAATGATGAAAGCCTGTTATTTCTGTTTAAAGAACAAATAAAACACATGTCAGTACAGACTGCAGTGAAATTCTCTTGATTAGCATATTTGTAGACTTGCACAAGTTTCTAAGGCAATAATTATTAGTTTCAATCCTAATTTCTAGATTATGTAAATAAGAACAAGTTGTCCCTATAAGAGACTGGAGTCCTCAGATGTACTGTCCACATATCTAGACTTGCCTAGTAGGAGGATAGAATAGAACACATCTTATCTTTAGTACAGCCTGGAGCAAGTCTACATAGGTTTGCTTAATGTCCCTCTAGTGATGCTTGTTACAACAATAATTGACAAGAGGCGATGTTTCCACACCAACTGGAGCTGACCTAACAGCGTTTCACTGTAACTTCCCACATACACTGAGGCCTTTTTGATGTGGATGGTACCATTCAAAATTAAATCTTCCAGATTAGCAAATTTCTGGGTTAACGAATCATAGGCAGAGTACAGTACAGAGTTTAGACTAGCCGGGGTTCACTTTAGGTGACGTCCGTGTGATGTGGGCAAAACTGTTTTGACGTTGATTGGTAGTACTGAGTATCACACTGAAGGAATTGCGTAAATCACAGACAAAGTATTGTGTAAAACACAGTATCAGTTTGAAGCTCTGTTTGAAGCTGAGCCAGAAAGGTTCTTGCAGCAATTTGTGACTATGGATGAAACCTGGGTTCACCACTTCTGAGTCCGAACAACAATCAAAACAGTGGTTGTTGCCTTTAGCATCAAATGAAAGATTGTTAAAATTTCAAACACCCGTTAAGATCCGAGGTAGAATAGGTCTTCAGCAACCCATGCTTGCCGTAAAAGGCGACTATGCTTGTTGTAAGAGGCAACAAATGGGATCGGGTGGTCAGGCTCGCTGACTTGGTTGATGCATGTCATCGTATACCAATGGCATGGATCAATGATCATGGTATCAATCACTGAATTGTGTGGTTCAGACTTGATTATTTACAGACCGCCATCTCGTATATTGCTGAGTGCGGCATTTAACAACACAAAAAAACAACATATGTTATATATCCAATACAGTGGTAGCTGATCATTATTAATATCGGCTGAACACGTTTTGTGTATTAGGAAAATGATCAATGATAAATTCCAGACCTCCAACATGCAGATGTTTGTCATGCCTACAGTTTATAGATTTATTTCAGTTGTTTGATTGCAATGTTATGTGATATGCTACATGTATTGCTGCACCCTAGTGATGTGTTGTGTTGTGTTGTGCACTGAATGTCGTGCTATGATTGCAGGGAAGACGAGAAGGTGTTCTGTCGGTCAGTCAGCCAGCCCTCACTCTCATTTAACTCGTCAACTCTTTGTCTTTATCAGTGAAATCACTGTCTGAAGTATACTCTCTCAGACTGTCCTGCAATCTCACTGTCTGCAGTCAACTCACTGTCTGCAATCAACTCTGTCCTCCAATCTCACTGTCTGCAGTCAACTCTCTGTCCTCCAACCTCACTGTCTGCAGTCAACTCTCTGTCCTCCAATCTCACTGTCTGCAGTCAACTCACTGTCTGCAGTCAACTCTGTCCTCCAATCTCACTGTCTGCAGTCAACTCTCTGTGTCCTCCAATCTCACTGTCTGCAGTCAACTCACTGTCTGCAGTCAACTCTGTGTCCTCCAATCTCACTGTCTGCATTCAACTCTCTGTCCTCCAACCTCACTGTCTGCAGTCAACTCACTGTCTGCAGTCAACTCTGTGTCCTCCAATCTCACTGTCTGCAGTCAACTCTCTGTCCTCCAACCTCACTGTCTGCAGTCAACTCTCTGTCCTCCAATCTCACTGTCTGCAGTCAACTCTCTGTCCTCCAATCTCACTGTCTGCAGTCAACTCTCTGTCCTCCAACCTCACTGTCTGCAGTCAACTCTCTGTCCTCCAATCTCACTGTCTGCAGTCAACTCACTGTCTGCAGTCAACTCTGTGTCCTCCAATCTCACTGTCTGCAGTCAACTCTCTGTCCTCCAACCTCACTGTCTGCAGTCAACTCTCTGTCCTCCAATCTCACTGTCTGCAGTCAACTCACTGTCTGCAGTCAACTCTGTGTCCTCCAATCTCACTGTCTGCAGTCAACTCACTGTCCTCCAATCTCACTGTCTGCAGTCAACTCACTGTCTGCAGTCAACTCTGTGTCCTCCAATCTCACTGTCTGCAGCCAACTCTCTGTCCTCCAACCTCACTGTCTGCAGTCAACTCTGTGTCCTCCAATCTCACTGTCTGCAGCCAACTCTCTGTCCTCCAACCTCACTGTCTGCAGTCAACTCTCTGTGTCCTCCAACCTCACTGTCTGCAGTCAACTCACTGTCTGCAGTCAACTCTCTGTCCTCCAACCTCACTGTCTGCAGTCAACTCTCTGTCCTCCAACCTCACTGTCTGCAGTCAACTCTCTGTCCTCCAACCTCACTGTCTGCAGTCAACTCTCTGTCCTCCAACCTCACTGTCTGCAGTCAACTCTCTGTCCTCCAATCTCACTGTCTGCAGTCAACTCACTGTCTGCAGTCAACTCTCTTCAGACCCACCTTTAGTGCCACTGTCTGCACCCTGCATCATGCTGTGCACATGTCAGGAAGATCTTATTGTTGGGGGTACGAGTGGCCAGGTGGTCTAGTGCAACACAGACTTGTCTCCCTTAACCATAACAGGATTTGATAGTCTTGGATCCCGGATGTGCTCTTCATGACGAGAGCCTATAGGTGTGTCTGCACCATGTCCTTTCATGTGGGTACACATGTACCCCTGCGTCACGAAAGACTTTCCCCCACATTAGGCTGACATTCTGTGGTATAAAACTGGAATACAGTTCAAAGAGATGTGAAACCCGGCTCACTCAAAGTTTGTTCAACAATTCTAATCTTCTTCAACTCAGTTTTGAAAATATATGCATGCTGTTCCAGTCCGAAGTCTTGTTCCTGTTTCTGTTGATATACAATTCTTGTTTCTCACGATCCGCTTGCCTCTAAGACTGACCCCATTTTTTATATTTTTAAGCACTTGTCAAATTCAAATATTTCACCCAATTCCAACTTTTTGCACATACCATGACCTTGAATGTCTGTCCAAGGAAAATTCAAATATTTCACCCAATTCCAACTTTTTGCACATGCCATGACGTTGAATGTGTGTCCAGGAAAATTCAAATTTTCACCCGATTCCAACTTTTTGCACATGCCATGACCTCCATGTCTCCAAGAAACCTTGTCGTGGTAATTATGGCCTCTGAGTCGCTGGCGGAATGGTGTCACATGGTACACTGGAATCAAACATTTATAGATTGTAACTACTCAAACTATATCATAAAATAAAATATTCTCCTTCTCTGTTCAATCAGTTGAAAATGTTGAAATTAAGAGAAATTTGATAGGCAGAGAGATATTGTAAAACATATGATTTTACTGGAGATGGAGCTCTGTACTGATCATGCTGAATTAACAGGGGTCATTTCAAAACCTCAAAAAGATAATTAACATCATGTTGTTGCCCCCATGAAGAAAACTGCTGCATGTGGTCCCTTCTTTCTTGAATAAATACACGATACATGGTCCTTCTGAACACTCATGCTGTATGGGAATCACATCCATCTGCAGTTCATACACTCAGACATCTTGAACAGTGGTAAAAAATAAAATATACCCTATTTGACGTAATAAGCGCCCCGTCCTAATTAGCTCCTACGGCGATATTTTCTAATATATTGGCTAGTGAACAATCCCAATTAACATCCCTTCCAATTGATCATTGTACACAAGACTTATTTATTCGTGTATAATACGCACTCGTGTGTTATGTGCGCCCTTAATTATGGGCAATTAAATTCTGGAAAATATATCTGTCGTGTATAATACGCACAGACTTTTCTTCTGTATAATTTCAGGCTGTCAGCATAAATCACGAAATACACAATCTTTTCAACTCTCTTTTCTTTTTTCACCAAACTTATATTTTAATAAGAGCCCCCTATTTCTAATTTTGAGAGCGCCCTTGGCACTTATTACGTCGAATACATTAAAGGACAAATTTGAAATACCTGACTGCAAATATAATGATTAATTTATTGTGATGCTATTACTTTTGAGATGGTCCCTGAGAGTGGTATTCTTCTCTGACAATGATCATATATCAATCAGCTGTGAAATGTACTCGTGTTTTCCTCCTCCTCTTCTTCACTAGGGGCGGCATCAATATCCCTTTTGTCATATGGAATATTCTTTCTTTATCAAACATCAATCTGCCTCTTGTGATATTCACATCAACTGATCGGTACATGGTGAATTGATCTCTGCAATGTATAAGGTTTGCTAGTGAAGGTATTATGTAGATCAAAGGTTTAAGCTTCAAAGAATATTACTTTTGGTGCCAGATCAATTTCAGATTGAACAATTATTTATGCTTTACAACACTGAATCGAGCTCTTAATATAAGATATGATCATATGTAACAGGGGCATAAAGGCCATTCTTTGCATCCACAAACCCACAAAATGTGGGGGCACTGGTGACCCAGCCATCTAAGGAGCTGCAATTTGCTGTGCAGAGTTGCCTTCCTTTGCTGTACCAGGAGCCTATGGTTTACATTAAACCCAGTTTTGGCCTGATTATGTTTCTCGGTTCGTCAGCACCATACGTGTGCTTGTGGATTTTTACCAAACTTGCCTTTCTTTAGGCTTCAAGCTGCAACCATTACATCTATTGACCAGTGAAGATCCGGGGTAGAATAGGTCTTCAGCAACCCATGCTTGCCGAAAAAAGCAACAATGCTTGTCGTTAGAGGCGACTAATGGGATCGGGTGTTCAGGCTTGCTGATTTGGTGGATGCATGTCATCGTATGCCAACTGCATGGATCGATGCTCATGATGTCAATCACTGGATTGTCTGGTCCAGATCCCATTATTTATTAGCATATTGCTGGAATATTGCTGAGTGCACCGTTAAACAACAAACAAAAATAAACATTATATCTATGACTATGTAACAGAACTGTCACTGTTCAAAGCGGCATTAGAAGACTCATCCTAAATCACCTGTTTGTTAACGAGACAAGGCTTCCAAGTTATCAATAGACGGAAATAGACACTGGAGGTATAGTTTCCCTGAATGGCATGCCCAAACAGCTGGCCTCCTAGTTCAACCTCCACACAACTCTACAGTTTCTCATGAAGTTTCTTGCTTGCCGTTTTCTCACGATATTTTCCTCTCACAGTTCATACGTATGTTCTGCTCTTCACACGCCAAACTGCTTCACACCTACTCACCTTAGAGAAGTAGGATTCTATGTCGATAGAGGAAGGCTTGCGATACAGAGAAGTGTTGGATGTGTGTATGTATTACACACAGCCTCTGTGTCACAGCTCACAGTAGCCTTGGACCGCCTCCGTGGTCTTGTGGTAGAGCGTCCGCCCGGAGAGCGGAAGGTCCAGGGTTCGATCCCGGGCCGCATCATACAAAAAGACGTTAAAAGATTGTACTTGTTGTTACCCTGTCTGGCGCTCGGCATTAAGGGGCTAAAACAAGGACTGGTCGGCTCGGAGTCAGTATACTGTGTCTGAGTGGGGTATTCATGTTAAACTGCGGCATGGTATCTCAGTGAGCTAGCACTATAAATCGGCATCAGTCCGGACTAGTACAAGCAGCCACACACACACATACACGTGCATGCACGTCGCTATATAAGTGCAATAATCTTGGACGCGACGTTAAACCCAATTTCACCTCACCTCACAGTAGCCTTGACGTACAACTGGTCTTCAGCAACCCATGCTTTCCCTAAAAGGTGACTATGCTTGTCGTAAGAGGCAAATAGGGTGGTCAGGCTCGCTGACTTGGTTGAAGCATGTCATCGATCCCAATTGCACGGATCGATGCTCATGATATCAATCTCTGGATGGTCTGGTTCAGACTCGATTATTTACAGACCGCCGTCATATACATGTAGCTGAAATATTTCTGAGTGTGGCTTAAAACAACAAATAAACAAACAAACAAAAGTAGCCTTAATTGATATCTAGTTACATTTTTTTTTGCACCTGGGTTCGATTCCCGACATGGGTACAATATGTGGCGCCCATTTCTGTTGTTCCCCGCTGTGATATTGCTGGAATATTGCTAAAAGCGGCGTAAAACCATGCTCACTCACTCACTGTGTCAGTGTAGTGATGTATGTTCTCTTCTAGTTGGGGCGGTCGGGTAGCCTTGTGGTTAAAGCGTTCGTGATATTGCTGGAATATTGCTAAAAGCGGCGTCAAACCATACTTACTCACACACTCTCTTCTCGTGCTACTAGTGTCACTGTTTGCCCTAGCAAGTGGTATCAAATGTGTTCTATTGTAGTGTTATATCCATTGTGTTATGTAGTGTTATACCCTATGTAGTTTAATCCTACTGTTAGTGCTCCCCAGTGTATATAGTTGTATGTATTGCTATCAAATGTTTCATGTTATTTTGTGTTCTTTTGTATGATTTGTTGATGAAAATATAATTCTGGTCAGATTCAAGACGGTGCTGGTGCATTGGGATGTAAAGTGCCACAATTTGCTGTACAGAGTTGTGCCCCTTGACCATGCCAGGATCTGGTGATCATAGGTCAGGCTTATTATGATCCTGTGCTTGTGGGTACCAAATAGTCAGCAGGCAGGCTGTGATACTGCTGAATTTCTGTTCATGTATCATCAGCCTCACTCACTCACTCACTCACTCACTCACTCACTCACTCACTCACTCACTCACTCACTCACTAACTCTGGACTTGTCTTCTTCAGGGCCGAGAACACGCTGGGGAATATTCTCAAGAAGAAGAGCTGGAGGTATGCTATTCCTGTACTTGACAGATGTAATACACACACGCACGCACGCGCACGCGCACACACACACAAACACACACACCAAGTATATATACTAAAAACCTAGGCAAGTCTAGATCAAACTAAACCAAGTCTAGTTTCCTTGATTCCACATGTGAAAACAGCAGGAAAGAGGAAAGGTTCTTTCGAAATAATAAAGTACAATTATTTTAAAGAAATGCTTTGATAGACTTGCTTCAGGGCCCAAGACGTACATTCGACAAGCTGCTCAATATTTAATGACTACACTCACCTTCCATCCAATTAATTGGATTAATATCAACTGCACACAGACGAAATAGCTCTTATATATGCACTGATTCATTGCTAATTTTACACAATTGTTTAAACATTCAGTCAAACTTACAAACAGTTCATACAGGTCAGAATCAATATTTTTTACTTGTGATCGATACTTGTATCGAGAAGTACTAATCGTGATCCACCGATGCGTTTGAGTATCGTCCCTCCACTACAAATGATTTCCCCTTGTTCGTATTCAGGTCTAGATAGGTAATTTTCACATTGTCTGGTTGGCGCTGTCAGTGATTAAATCAAATCAATCGCTGTAAGGATTTCAAGGTGTATTGTTCAGAATGTTTCCACGACTGCCTGTTGTATGGACATTGATTATTTCAACTGCTACAGCTCTTTGTACAAAGGAGGTTGTTTTGTCTTTCAGGAGATCGAGTTACATTCTGTCCACGAAGATCTACTGGGGAGGGAAGTAAGTGCATCATTACTTGTAACATCTAACAATCTGATGGGCAGTCTTGGACCTGTAGACCCGTGAAGGTTGGGGGTAGAATAGGCCTTCAGTAACCCATGCTTGCCGTAAAAGGTGACTATGCTTGTCATAAGAGGCGACTAATGGGATCAGGTGGTCAGGCTCGCTGACTTGTTTGATGCATGTTATCGTATCCCAAATGCGTGGATTGATGCTCATGATGTCAGTCACTGGATTGTCTGGTCCAGACTTGTTTATTTACAGACCGCCGTCATATAGCTCGAATATTTCTGAGTGCGGCGTTATTAAACACCAAACAAAGAAACTCACTAACATCCTCCATGTTTGTTTCCAGGGCCGAGACAGAGAAAGGACTTTCCCGGAAACATATCGTTGAAGGTAATGTGGAAGAGGATGTCCTCCAAGTTGATAAAGTATTCGATTATCAGGCTAAAACCTGGGTTTATTTCCTCCCATAGTACAATGTGTGGGGGCCCTTTTTGGGTGTGGCTAACCATGATAGAAAAGTGGTACAATGTGTGTGGGCCCATTTTGGGTGTGGCTAACCATGATAGAAGGTGGTACAGAATGTGTGGGCCCATTTTGGGTGTGGCTAACCATGATAGAAGGTGGTACAATGTGTGTGGGCCCATTTTGGAAGTGGCTAACCATGATAGAAGGTGGTACAATGTGTGTGGGCCCATTTTGGGTGTGGCTAACCATGATAGAAAATTGGGGTGGTCCTCTCCTGGTCCTTCTTCAGTGTATGTGACGTCTTCTACTATATATATTTTCAAAGTGGAGATGATATATTCTAGCTTTCCAAATGAAAAACGAAGGATCTTAATTCCACGCCAAATTCACACTTTGCTATGGTGACATGTAGGAAAATAGCTCACCGTATTTAAATAAAAGTGTTTCAAAGTTTTTAATAAATTTTAACCTACTATAGGTAAAGATTTCATCTATTCGAAACCTTCATTGTTCTATGTGTAGATGTGCTAATCTGTAGCAAATGGATAATAACATGCATGCTTATGAATTCCCAGTTTACCCCGATTACCCGGTACTGGTAGGTTTCAAGGTTTGTCAGCATCATACCCGTGCTCGTGGGTTTCACCGAAGTGGTAATCATCCAAGACCTGCATCACTTCAGGCTTTCCTCCCACGCCTGGTATAATGTTAAAAGTGGCGTTAACCCCAACTCACTCACTCACTCACGTGCCTTAGTTTCTAACATGCATAACTCTTGCTGTAAGTAAAACGTAAGGGTCAATTCACATTTTGGTGTATGAAATATTCTATATTGCATCTTATCACTTACTTGCACTTTCTGAAAAGGTCGTAATTTTTACGAAACTTCTTCCTCTATAACATATCTGCCATAAGTCCTGTATTTTGGCTTCGATCACACTTACTAAAATTTTCAGATTTTCAAGAGATGTCCTCTTCACTGTCAATTACACACAACTAGTTGTCGCCAAGTAGTCTCGTAACTACCCAAGCCATGACATCATAATGGCGGCAACCTCACTTTTTTCTTGTGTGTGCTGGATTTAACACCTACTATGATAATACTTGCACTTTCTGAAAAGGATGTGTTAAGTCCGGGATTGTATAGGAGAGAAATCCCTGTGTTTCACAATCTAAATAAGGATAAGATATATGGATGAACAACTTCTTTTTTACAAATAGGAGCGGCGTTTCAGTGTAGGTTCTAACACTGTTCTCACACCCTTACCGTCACTCCTTATTGTAATAAGGAAGTTGTTCATCCACATATCCTACCTTGATGAGTACTTCTCAATGCCTCTCAAAGAAGTTCGTCCCTTGGCCACGCCAGAAACCTATGATTGTGGGTTCGAATCCCAGTTCGGCCCGATTATATTTCTAGGTTTGTCAGCACAATACCTGTGCTCGTGGGTTTCACCAAAGTGGTAAACGTCTGAGACCTGCATCACTTCTGGCTTTCCTCCCACATTAAGCTGACACGCCGTGATATAACTGGAATACTGTTAAAAGTGGCGTAAAACCCAACTCACTCATTCACTCACTCAAAGAAGTTTCGCAATTCGTATCACCGTGTCACAGATTGATGTATGTATGATGTGGTGATATCAATTTGTGACGTGTGTGATGTTGCCAGGTCTGAAGGGGTCGCTGGAGAGGTTGCAGCAGGACTATGTGGACATCGTCTTCGCCAACAAGCCGGACTCACACACACCAATGGAAGGTAAGGACTAGATTGTTTTCTGGAGCATGTCTTCCTGTGTCTGACAGCTGTTCACATGGTGCTTCATCAGCTGAACACGACTCTGTCTTTTCATTGCTTCTAGCTCTCTGCCACACAGGAAAAAAGGACACATCCCCCTAACAAGCAAGAAATTAATGATACCTTTACCAGATGACCTGAATCAGGCTTACGGTCAAGTGTAATACCCAAACATGGCTGTTTCAGGGCCAGGGCCATGACA